ACTTCAATTTCCTTCTACTCCTCAAATTTCATGTTCTGATGGGTCTTCTCCTTCAATTTCATTAGATTTGGCTTTTGTTTCCTGTAAATTAAGCATATATAGTATCATTAAAACATATAAACATAAAGTGAAGTACATTAAAAAAGATGAAAAGATATTACCTCCATTAGAAATAGGTGATGTAAGATAGCTGAATGAGTGCTATTATCAACCAAAAGTTACTAAAATTACCTTAAAAAAAAGAAGCCCTGTGTTAAGAATTTTCATTTGAAAAACAAAAAATAATTAAATTCATAACAGAGAAATAACTTTGCTAATAGCTCCTACAAATATTCTGTGCTTCTCTTTATATGCACAAACCTTAGAAACACTTTTTCCTATAATTCCCAAGCGATTAATGGTCCTAAAACAATTTAAGTAAACTAATATATTCTGTGTTTCTAAAATTTCTTAAGATTTTCAAAGCTATCCAATTTGGACAGCAAGTTGTTCAAGTACATGATTTTTCTTTTGAAATTTGTTTTAAGAAACCAAGATGGAATTAAAATTGGAGTTTAGTTTAACTACAGGAACTGTAAAGGTAGTGTATCTACCTAATTATGCAAAAGCAAAATTACAACTTGCAATACTAAAACTGAACATGATTGTTTCTGGACAATGAATGAATGAAGTAGTATAAAATTCAAACATGTGAGTTTTAAGATTTAAAGCCACAAGAAAATCAAACCTATAAATCAAATTAAACCATAAAATAGAACATGATTCAAAACCTAATAGTTTTCACGATCAAAACCACATAGAAATCAACCCAAATCCCATGTAAAAATAAAGCAAGTTCAGAGTCAATAGAAAAAATCAAATAAGTTTGGTTTCAACGGAACTTATCAAATCGATGCCGGAAAAAACAACTTTGGCATAGAATAGAGATGCAAGACAACACAAGAATAGGAAGTGAAGTGAGCTACTGGTTTTCAATGAGATTTAGAATTAGGGATTAAGGAAAACTCTTTTTACAAATCGTCCCTCCTAAAAATAAATTTATAGGTGCATATGTCTACATGACAAGTGGGGTTGGGGTCTGTATATGTGGAAAGCCACGTAAGTGGTCCCCTAAATTCGTCCCATAAGAATCAGTACTTGTATCATTATTCTACACAGAAAGTTGTCAAGTTTAGTAATAAAATTTTGTTAAGTTATTAATTTTGGGGAAATGTTATTAGGACAATAATTTTGTCTCACTTTTTTGTACAATTTGACGTGTCATTAAAATGATTAGTTCTTTTAATTCATGTTGAACTCATGATATTGAATGCATTCACTTATTTAATAACACGTAAAAATTGTATAAAAAGGTATGACAAAAAAATTGTCACAATACCACCACCCTTAATTTTGTTATGTTTAGTAAAAAATTGATATAACGAAAATTAGGAAGGAAATTTGTTAAGTAAATCTAATATAAAGAAAGTTATAAAAAAAAAAAACTTTTTTTCCTTTTGAAATAGATGAGAAAAATCGTTACAGGTTTGGAAATTGTATTAGAAAAAATAAATGTTGAAAGTGTTATTTTTATTCTCTTTTTGTTGTGTAATATTAATGTGTAAAAATGAAAAAATAATTTTATAAAAAAAATTTAGAAAAATTTAGGAAAAAAATTGCTTCCCGACCAACACCCCTTAAATCTTGAAACAATATCTTTAAAAAAAAATCAATTTTTTTAAAATATAATCGCAATCTAATCTGGTACATAAGTTTCAATTAACTAAATTGATTTAAAAATAATTACTCAAGCAATTCAATGGTAAAAATAAAAGATTCGTTAAAGGAAATCCCTCCTCAATATAGTAAACTATAGTAAACTATGATTAGTGTACATTACTACAGTGATTGTTCATATCATTCTTGATTATCTTTTAATTGATTCCATATTCCTTTCATAAACTAGGGTTACCCACTATAAACATTGAGCAGCAATGAAAATGGCAAAAGATACACGCTGCCCCAAACAGATAAAAGAGCATGGGAATCGAATTCCTTTGCGCTGGCTTGGCTTGAGTAAAGTGCATATACGTATCAATCCACCAACAGGTCGAACGAGATGAAAGAGAATCTAGTTTCCTTCCGCATGCCGTCAATTAATGGAAATTAAAGGGGCAGACACAGCATTTTGCCTACTGAAAAGATCCTCGCCTCTGAGGTAAAGGCTTCTCCAAAACGTAGTTCCAAAGAAGAACAATTTAACTTGCACATAGAGACTATTCCAATTGGAAGAAACTTGGGAGGAAACAGAGAGCTCTAAAAATGGCATTTTTTCATTTGGGGTTGTTCTTTATACTGTTCTTGCTTCAGCCTTATCTTCTCCCTGCGCGCTACATGATAGCAGGTATTATATATGAATTTCCAACACTTGTCTTTCCTATATTCTTTTTAGCTTGTTTTCTAAGCAAACTAACGCATCGGTGCTTAAAATTGTAGATTTCAACCAAGGAAAAGATTTTATGGGCCAGAGAATCCCAAATCATAATCAAATAGCAGCGGTGAATAGGCGAGGAGGAGGAGGAGGTGGTGGCCATGGGGGAGGAGGTGGCCATGGGGGTGGAGGTGGCCATGGGGGTGGAGGTGGGGGTGGGAGGGGAGGTGGCCATGGGAGTGGTGAGGGAACAGGAAAGGAAAATGGCAGACAAACTAATCCTGCGGCCGTTGTGATTCCAGTAGTAGCTGGAGCATCCACCGTCAATCGTCACCACCACGGGGCAACTGGAAAGAGCAGTACCCTCAACCGCCCCAGTACTCTCAGTTACTTTCTCTTGACTGTATGGGTCTCTCTCCTTCTTTCCCGAATGTAGATTCTGACTCTCATTAAGCGTTTGAGTTACTTCGCTTTTTCTTTTTCATTTTGCAAAAGAGTGTTTTAAATGGTAGATTTATATATTAAAAATACAATTTATATTATAAATTTATTAAGGTAATTTAAATAAAATTATTTTTATATTATTTTATTACATATAAAATAAATTTAATAAAATAATATAAAAATAATTTTATTAAAATTACCTTAATAAATTTATAATATAAATTGTATTTTTAATATATAATTCGAAACTATAATATACGAATACTTTTTTCTTTTTTTACTTCCGTAATTTCCATGTGTATTTCTTTATTTATTTTCAGGCATATTTTACTGGTGATAAAGCTTTTGCTTTTCCTTTCTTTACTTCTTTTTTGCTATTGGGTTGATATTTGAAATTTGAAGTATTATCGTTCAATAATATAC